TACAGCATGAAACTCTGAGTAACAACATGTTTCAGGTTCTGTTTTAGTTGTCTGTAGTAACTCTGAATAACAACATGTTTCAGGTTTTGTTACAATATTTCTTTAAGTCTAAAAATGTTTTTAAGAATTGGGATGAGATAAGAAATGTGAGAAATGGCCTGAAGAATTTAGTCTATACTTCCTGTAATAATTTTGCCAAGAAAAGAAAATTTTCAAAGGGAAACTAAAAACAGAAAGTTTAAACAATTTTACTTTCTATCTTTACTGTGTTATATCTAATCAAACATATTTCACCTGAAACCAGATTGTCTGGATATTTTCTTTTCAGCAGATATATTTTAATTAAAACTTTTTCAAAGATTAGTCATTTAAATCCTACTGTTCTGTATCTTTTTGGACTAATGAAATAGTTTTATATCCTACTGTTCTGTATCGTATTGTACTAATGAAATGAAATGGAGTTTTATATCCTACTGTTCTATATCTTATTGGACTAATGAAATGAAATGAAGTTTTATATCCTACTGTTCTGTATCTTATTGGACTAATGAAATGAAATGAAGTTTTATATCCTACTGTTCTATATCTTATTGGACTAATGAAATGAAATGAAGTTTTATATCCTACTGTTCTGTATCTTATTGGACTAATGAAATGAAATGAAGTTTTATATCCTACTGTTCTATATCTTATTGGACTAATGAAATGAAATGAAGTTTTATATCCTACTGTTCTGTATCGTATTGTACTAATGAAATGAAATGGAGTTTTATATCCTACTGTTCTATATCTTATTGGACTAATGAAATGAAATGAAGTTTTATATCCTACTGTTCTGTATCTTATTGTACTAATGAAATGAAATGTAGTTTTATATCCTACTGTTCTCTATCTTATTGGACTAATGAAATGAAATGGAGTATTATATCCTACTGTTCTGTATCTTATTGAACTAATGAAATGAAATGTAGTTATATATCCTACTGTTCTGTATCTTATTGAAGTAATGAAATGAAATGTAGTTTTATATCCTACTGTACTGTATCTTATTGGACTAATGAAATGAAATGTAGTTTTATATCATACTGTTCTGTATCTTATTAAACCAATGAAATGAAATGTAGTTTTATATCTTACAGTTCTGTATCCTTTTGGCTAATGAAATGAAATGGAGTATTATATCCTACTGTTCTGTATCTTATTGAAGTAATGAAATGAAATGTAGTTTTATATCCTACTGTACTGTATCTTATTGGACTAATGAAATGAAATGTAGTTTTATATCCTACTGTTCTATATCTTATTGGACTAATGAAATGAAATGAAGTTTTATATCCTACTGTTCTGTATCTTATTGGACTAATGAAATGAAATGTAGTTTTATATTCTACTGTTCTATATCTTATTAGACTAATGAAATGAAATGTAGTTTTATATTCTACTGTTCTATATCTTATTGGACTAATGAAATGA